GCTGGCACAAGATATCGAACGGTTGACATTGCTGTCGTATCCAACATCAGACCCCGAGCACAGAGACGAAACTGCCCTGGATACGTTTATCAAAGCCCTTCGTGATTCGGAACTCAAGCAATCCCTTCTCTTGTCAGATAAACGAAAACTCAAGGATGCCGTTGCGCACAGTCTCACTTTTGAATCGGCAAAGCAAGCATCAAAAAGTGACGTACGTCTACGCCAAGTACATGAAGAATGCTCTTGCCAGAAGGTGATTGTGAAACGCGAACACCAACAGCATGGTGTACCCCAATGCTGGATTTGTGGCGAAAAAGGCCATCTACGTCGTGATTGTAAACACCGCCTAAAAGATAACTACTGCCGAAATTGCGCGACAAGATGGCGCAAAAGAAGAGAAGATGATCCCGTATCACGATCGGCCCCTTCTAACGAAGGGGCGGGAAAACTAATAAGAGCCAACTTTGTGGGGCAGAGGTTGGCTAATAGAATTGACGCCCCCAGTACCGTAATTAACGTTTCCAGACTACATCGAAATCGAAACGATTTATGGCTGAACGGAAAAGTTGATCAACGAGAATGCGTAATTACAGACGACACCGGAGCAACAAAATCGATTTTAAGATCTGATTTGGTACCCAATCTGAAGAAAGAGACTTCTAACAAATACATCCTTCGAACAGCTACCGGAGGAACAGCACCAGTCTACGGAAAGATTCTCCGTACTGTTCAGCTAGGCGACTTGTTATTCGAAGGTTCATTCTTAGTCGCGGATATCATCGACGAATGCATAATAGGTGTCGACTTTCTGAAAAAAAATATGGGTTCAAAATTGACTTAGAAAAACGCATTCTTAGATGGAGAAATACAGAAGTGATAATGGGGGATAGCGACGAAAAATGCATTCGAGTAACAGTCGATTGTGACATGGAACTACCTCAATCATCTGAAAACATCGTATGGGGCAAGTTGAATTGCGATCCTGGGGGCCACCAGTTCTATTTGATGGAGCCAACCTCAACGACAAATGTACAGAACGCGGTCATTGGAAAATGCCTTGTAGAAGCGAACAAAAATGGTCTTATTCCTGTCAGAATAATGAATACCGCTAAACACACTATTAAAATTAAAAAAGGCGAGGAAATAGGTAATTGCCAATCAATAAATTTGGTGAAATCATTAGATGTGGAGCAACAGGAAAAGGTTCTACCAACTGACAAAGATAGACTCAAAGAACTTACCAAAAATCTACTGGATGAGTTTAATTTGTATCAAGAAGACCGTCTAAAAGCCGAGGCGTTGATTGCTGATTTTGCAGACGTGTTTTCAACCGGTGACAATGACCAAGGTAAAACAGCTCTGGTAACTCACCGAATTGATACTCAGGATTCGAAACCGATCCGACAAGTACCACGACGTC